ATATACATATGTATATTCTGGTTACCTGAGATCCCACCATATTCTGTATTTATTTGTGATATCCACAAGTTCAACAGAGAATTTTAGATAATGTAAAATAATTTTCCACTGCATTAAATTTTCATAAGCTACTGATAAAGATATTGACAAATGTCCAGGTTGCCCAGGGACGTGGTGGCTAGCCCAATCTTGGCGGTGTCCAAGGCCAGGCTGGATGAGCCTTGAGCACCCTGATCTAGTGAGGAGGTGTCTCTGCCCAGGGCAGGGGGTTGGGACTAGATGATCTATTAGGTCCATTCCAACCCCTAAATTCTTTGATTCTGTGACTTAAAAATTTCCAACAGAAAGGTAAACTCTACAGAACTCCCGTTTTAGCATTTCATGGCCTCTTTGGAAAATTTTCCTTTAAAACTGTGTCACTACAAATCAATCCACCACTACTTGCTGTGCACCACGTGGACATTGTTGATCACATGCCTCCTAAGTACTCTAAAAGACCTTTTGGCTTTAGAAGATGGTAAGGATTTCTTTCTTCCATTGCCCTTTTCTACAGAGGGGTGGGAACGAAACAGTTCTCAAGGACGGGCAGTGGTCTTTGAAAAGCAGCAGTTCCATCTCTTGCATGCTCATTTTATGGTGATTTCAGCTAAGCATTGTTTCACTTGTTTGCTCATAAGAATGTCTCATGGGACAGTATTAAAAGTCTTAATTATAACAAACCATAGTGCACTATTGTTTCTTTGTTACTGCCTCAGCCTTGAGGCGCAAACTAGATGGATTTGCCAGCTGTTCTTGACATCTTAGAGTCCTGATGATTTTCCAATTATTTTCTTTGATAATTTCTCAGGAGTCTTCTAGTATCTTTTATAGGTGCTCATGTGGCTTCCAGTCACCTTGATCTGCCTTTCCTGTATACAGGGAGGCAGTATCTGCTTTTTGCCAGCCCTTTGACACTTTTTCCTGTACTCCCAAAGGTAATTACTGAGGGTTTGGATCCTTAACCCCTAGCTCAGTTGGCTGTAACTAACCTAAGGACTCTTCAGTCTTTCCATACTCTGACCTGTTCTCTTTTCCCAGTGCATAACACTATTGCAGGGAGTATCTGTAAACTTTTTTTCTGTATAGAAATGACATTTGACATGTCCTCTGTCAATTGCTGGCCTTTAAACAGCAGACCTGACTGAGTTTTGTTGTTCTTAGTCCTGATGTGTTTATGTAGCCTTTTCTTACCCTTTATGTCTCATAGGGGTCTGTTAAGTAAACCTTTTCCAACTGGAAAATTAGTTGTTGCTAAATAATCGTTGTTAGGCATCTCTGTTTGTAAGGGAAAAGAGGTGATCTGGAGTATTCCCATTCACTTGTAAAAAGCAGGGCTTGCACTTGTGGAAATCAAAGTCTGGAGTGTTTAGGAACAAAAAGTGTTCAGCATTTTAAAAAACTTCAGTTTAGAGTCTCCCATTTTTTCTGGCAGAGAGGAATTGGATTAATTTTAAGAGACTATGTGTTCATGTAGCACAAGAGGAGAGTGGACAAGCGCACCCAGCTCTGTACAGCACAAGAAATGAGGCTCTTGCATTCCCAAATTAATTGGCAAAAGAGGAAAAAAGCACAAATGTGAGAAGAGAATAAATCAGTAACATGGAATCCAACTAAGTGACAGGCTGGGTGTTCTAGCCTGAACATCCACAGTTCAACCCAAGTAACTGTATCAGAGATATTTTTCCTGAAATACCTGTGTACCTAAGGTTCCATTATGAGCTTTACCTCACAGGAATTTCAGTCTTCCTAAATATCAAGGTTGAAGTTTTTAAGTGCCCTTGGCTTTTAAAAAGGTGTTTTAACCTCTCTGTGTGCTTTTGAAAATGCTTTTCAGGCTTTCTGGTTTGGGGGTTTTTTTTGAAAATTTTGGACTTGTATTCATCTTCCATTACATTGCAAGGGGATTAAAAATATAATTGGTGGATGGCAGAATTCCCTGGGAAAAACCAGAAAGAGCCCCATGTCAATGATGCATAAGGGAATACTGCCAACGAAAAGAGTCAGTCTTTTTTTAGCCTGGAATTTTTACAAGGGTATTGCTTTTAGGCTTTGGTGTTTTGTTATTTTTTTGGGGGGGTTTCTTTATCTGCTGCAGACAAGAGGTCTCAGACAGCCCTTGTGAAGGAAGACTATTGTAAATTCTGAGATATGCTCTTCCTTCCTCCGGAGATTCCACTGCCTAATGATTCTGATAAAGTTTCCTCCACTCCAGAGCTTGTGCCATGACAGGGATGAACACTTACCAGTAGGAAGCTCATTAAATGACTTGTAAAAGGGAATCTCCAGGAAAAGGCGTAGGATTTTCTGTCTCCTGGCCCCTGGGAAGATAAAACCTGTTCAGGAGTTGTCTATAATGTCTGTAGTTATAGGAGCTGATCAATGTTTTAGAAAATCAAAAAAGCCTGTCCTGTCAAAATTCATTAACACTGGTTTGTGTTAGAATTATGTTTACAGAAGCTGTAAAATCAGGCCCTGCTGCATAATGTACTGTGCAGGTGCATCGAAAGTAGCAGTTTCTGCCTGTGTTCTTCAGATAGTGAACCCTCCTAATAGAGAGAGCTTGGCAGACAGGAATTGTTTTCATTCCCACTTACTGCTGAGGCTAAAGAAATAGCAGTCCTGATCTGATGCTGCCTGGAAGCCTCTGGAAGTCTGTTTCTTCTAAGCAAGGCTGGCCCAGGCCTGGGCTTGTAGAATGAGTCTGTGACATAGCCAAGAGTTAACCTCAACTTTCCAGAGTTTGTTGAAGGTTGGTTTGTGTTTCCAACTTTGCTAGGTCACACCTGCTAGAAAGTGGTCCTCTCCCTCCAGGTATTCAGTATGTTGTTTTCAATCCTCACTCTCTTCAGTAACTGACTTTGCCTTGCTTTCTGGGATTTTGCAGTTTTTTGGTCATTATATCTCATATTTCGTTAGTAACTGAGGCTGTTTTGGTATATACTCTTTACTCTATGCTCTTTTCTGAGATGATTCCTTTGATGGGCAGAGATCTACTAAGATATGGCTACTTGGCAAATTTGGTTTTGGTGAAAGAATTGGGAATTGATACATGTTGAGATGTCAGCTTGGAATCCAAGAACCACTGATTTTTATTCTGTAAGAACAGGCTGAGGCTCCAAAATAAGAGTTCCAACATGCACTGTATAAGCTGTAACTGTGTTTTACAGATATGAAGCAGGTGCTGCCCTGTGCCCTCCTATTGCTGACAGCCCTTGTTGAGTCCTTTGCATGTTGAGCCTCATTAAACCTCAGCCATAATGGTGAAGGTTTATGTCTGGAATACTGGTTGCAACTGGACTGGCTGGTGAAGCCTCTGTAGTAAGTGCCTGAGTGGAAATGGAACAAGGGGTGGCTTGACATGGCTGATCAGGGCACAAGGGAATAATCCTACTTGGTATTGACCAGCGTGGCGAGTGCTGGGGAATGTGGACTCTGCAAGAAGCTTCTAGTGTCATGTCTTTGCACAGAGTGGAGAACTGAGCTAATGTGGCTGTTACTCGTGTTGCCTGTTCCCTGCTTGTAGCCCTCTAGTTCTTGTGAGACCTCTTGTAACAGAGGTGAGAAGGACACTGAAGTGAAAACATCCCCAACTGTTTCTGTACAAAGCACAGCGAGTCACTCACCTTGTCACTGAGGTGTGTAGGTGAGGATCAAGGAATGGAGTGTAATGGTGCAAGGAATGCTCATGCTTACAGCCTTCTCCTGAATGCAGCTGAACTCTGAAGAGCCTGTGACTGCTGCCTACCCACTGTAGCAAAGTGTCCATGGTTACTCAGGCATGTCTCTACCATGGACACTATGTGACTGCTCTGTCTAGTAGTATGATTAATCAGTGAATACACAATACATGTGCATAAATTCAGTACAAGACTAGTGTATTGTCTTGTCCACCTGAAATATTATATGCACCTGTTCAGGAATTGTAACTCTATTGAGATCAGGATATTGGAGCATATGGTCCAAGGGACTCCTCAAAGCAAAGCCCATGTTCCAAGCTTGACTGCTACAAGTGACTGATGGACTGTATTGTCAGCAGGAGTGTAGAAGAGTACTAGCAATCCTGGGACTGGCAAACCTTACCACTAAGGAGAACTCTGCACAGTGTGCTGTGGTCCACAAGTAAAGGCTTGTCCAATGCTGCAGTTTCCATCTTTTACTCAAACTTAGTTAACTAGCTTTGAGACACCAGAAGAACTGGTACCTCCTTGCTGCAAAGCATTATGCTAGGTGAAAAATTGGACTCTGCTTATTCATGCAACTAACTCGAACTAACCATCTTCCTTCTTCCTGATATCCTGGAATTGTGTGGTTCTGTCAGTAAAAGTGTGTAATGTAGCACTTGGCAGTTTGTCAGTGCAGTGTGTCTTTGTGGGAGGGTTGATTTGACTAGAGGAAACATCAGGCTTAATGGGATTTTCCAAGGAATTTTTTTTCCACACGAAATTTCCTGTCTCGTGGAGGAGGGACCAGTTGAGAGAATAAAAGGCTGCAATGAAGGCAGGGGTTTACAGAGTCCAGACACTTGGAGCTGAACTTGATCTTCAGGTCTGAGTTCATCAGCTTAGCCACAGAAAGCAGTCACTGAGAAATAGCACAGAGGACTTTTGCCTTGGCCACTGCAGCTGCAACCTGTGAGTATAAATGAACTTTGCTATTCTATTTCATTGCTCAGCTAAGGGAGAATTGGACAGCTGGAATTCTCTATTGATGTTCTTTAAAATCTGTTTACATTTACAAGTTACCTTGATACAAAGTTTTGTTTTAAAATGAATAATTTCCTAGAAGTGGAAGACTTATTTAAGCCTCTAGAATAACTATTTAAAAGTATGTAGAAAAAAAATTGCATAAACAGTATTTTATATTGTATTATAAAAAGTCAGTATTTGTTCTTTACAAATGTGTTCCTTTGATCCCTCACAGCCATCTGATTAAACAGCAGAGAAGAGAAAACTCTCAGAAATATGATTTGCTTGTGGTTCCTCTCTCTTCTTACTTATGGTAAGTGTGTATTTCTCTGTGTAGAAAACTAGTTGGATGGTAATATAGTGTGACTTTTCTGTTTGAGTTCAGCATTAAACAGAATGTTTGAGCCTGCCCTAATGAACCTGAGGCTAAGTTCACAGAGAAACACTTCTAGCTGCAGTGGCATGTTTCCCTGCTTGCCTGTCAAATCCATAATTGGCTCCTATAGTCTACTGTGAAGTCTCAAAGCTTTGTCTGATCAGACCTAGTTTCACAGACTGAAGTACCTGAAGCTGACATGTTTGGTTTGGAGCTTGCCAGCTGATTGTTTGTAAAATAATTGCCACTACTTTTTATGCAGTTTCAGATATTGACAAGTTTTATATATTCTCTTCTAAAGAGAGAGGAGGGAAAATGTCAGACATCAACTTTTGGATATCTTTTCATTTTAGGACTTACAATACTGCAGGGGGTGAATTGTTGGACATACCATTATTCAGACACAAATATGACCTACAAGGAAGCAGAACTGTGGTGCAAAAAGAGGTATACTAACATGGTTGCCATTCAGAATAAGGAGGAAATCAAGTATCTCAATGAATTCTTACCCTTCAATCGGGGTTACTACTGGATTGGAATCAGAAAAATTAATGATGTGTGGACCTGGGTTGGAACTAACAAAGAACTGACAGATGAGGCAAGAAACTGGGCTACAGGTGAGCCAAATGGCAAAGGGAACAATGAGGACTGCGTTGAAATCTACATCAAAAGAGGGAAGGATGATGGCAAATGGAATGATGAGAAGTGTGAGAAGAAGAAGGTGGCCTTGTGCTACACAGGTATGGTGTGATAAAGGTCATTCTGGTGTGCTCCTGTGGAGATGAGATGGTGGGTGGGATGGGATGTTAACTACCTGACCCTGTAAGACTTGTGCACTGATGCTTACTTACAGGGTTGAGGTTGTTCTTGTTCTAAGACTTAGATTAATCTCAGTTACCTTTTAGGTCCCAGAATATTGTGCATCCTTTCAGGGGCAAATCACCAGACTTTGTCTATAATCACTGGGGAGAAACAGGCTTTTCCAGGTGGTGACTTTCATCCCACTCTCAAGTGGGAGTCTCAGCTAGATAAGAATTACCCTTTTGGAGGCATCTGTCTGCTGACAGTAGACCACTGGATTAGATTAGACACTTTGCAAAGAGGTGGCTAATGCCAGGTTAAAAAACCTACCAACATCAGAGTCAAATATTGGCCAAATTAGAGCTCTGGTGATTTAATGAAGAATGCACTTGTTGAGGATTTCTACCTACCCCATAGTTTATTGCTCCTTTTGCATTTTAAATATTGCCATTATCTACCTGAGAACAAGTGGTCCTGGAGTTTCTAGCAAGTAGAATCCTTTCCCTGTGAGCTAGTCTGTCAAAGGTGTGGCTTTCAGAAATCCTTCTGACATTACATGGTAATCTTAAGTCCCAAACACTCTGATTTTCTTTTGCTGTACAAAGGACTTGTTTAGTGTCGGAAAGATAAACAAAGGTTTCATTAGTGGCCATTGTTGATTCTTTTATAATTTGCTGTTTTGTTTTGTTTTTCCAGCTTCTTGCAACTCTTCTCTCTGCGGTGACCATGGAGAATGTGTAGAGACTATTAACAGTCACAGCTGCCAATGTAACCCTGGATTCTATGGGCCTGCGTGTGAGTTTGGTAAGATTATTTCACCCTGCTTTTCAACCTGGGTGATGTTCATGCTAACTAGTGTACAGTTTGGCTTGTTGATTTACCTGCTCAGCCAGTGAGACTGACTGTGTACCTTCTTGTGCTTCTTTGAAGTTGTGAGGTGTGATCCACTAGAGAAACCCGATCATGGGAGCCTCGAGTGCAGCCACCCACTGGAGAACTTCAGCTACAACTCATCCTGCACAGTTCAGTGTGAGGAAGGCTATGAGCTGACTGCACTGGAATCTGTACACTGTACCTCTTCTGGGGTCTGGTCTGCCCCCCTTGCAGCGTGCAAAGGTGAGCTTCCTGCACTATACATGGCTCTGTAAACTTCTGTGTTGCTCTGTTGGTAGCTACAAATTGAAGTCTGGCCAATTCCTTTGTAATTAGGTGCTATTTCATTTCAGCACACGGGTCTCTGTTCCTGAAGAGATGAAAAGGGAAGGATGAA